CGAAAAGTGCACGCACTTTGACACTCACGGCCTGCGAGTCGATATGTCGGCTTGTCTACTTGCTTGTGTGTTTGTCTGTGTGTGTGTGTGTGTGTGTGTGTGTGCATGTTCTTTTTGTTGTTCGTGCAGCTCTTTTCTGATACTGTCTTTTCTTTCTTTTGCGCATTTTCTTCTTCGTCTTCTTCTTGGTTTTTTTTTCATATGTCTTGCAAACAAATTGCGTGCAAGTAGCTGCATTTTGCTAATTCCGGCAACGACGCGACGATGGCAACGGTAGCGTTGACATTTGAGCTGGTCTCGGTCGTCTCGCCCGTTGTCGTTGTCGTTGTCATTGTTGGCTTTTGAATGTTAAGATGTCGACAGCTGCTGCTGCTTCTTCTTCTGTTACTTCTACAGACAGACTGGACGGACTTTCTGGTGTCAAATGAAAATTGTGTATGAGAGGGCATTGCATTGCACAGAGCCCAGAGCTGGCGTTGAGCCGTCGCCATGCGTCATGTCTTAGACGACACGATTGGTGCACCACAACTTCAAGGGGTGTGTGACTCTTAGAGCCGTTTTCTTCGCCCCCACAATTGCTGCATAAGTGCAAAATATTGTAAAAAGAAAAATACTTGTGTTATGATACATAATATTTGTGTGTGTATTGCATGTTCTGCTGGTTCCTTGTTAGACAATTTGTTCGAGTGCTAATAAAAATGTTTTCCAGTTGTAGTACTCAATGCCAACTGTTATGTGTCATAAATAATACAAGGCCAGGACACTTTAGGATAAAGATGACAACTTCTTTAAGCATATAAATTGAGGTCCAATGTTAAATTTGTTGACAGAACTGCTAAGCAAAGTTCTGCACAGAAATAATGAATAATTGTTTAAATTATTTGATCAATAAGTTTGATAATTAATATAAAAGTCTATGAAGCAGATCTTAAAAAATATTTTAAGCCTAGCTGGTTTTTCTTATTTGACGTACACTAAGCTTGTTCTTCATCGAAACGACTGCGGCCGATTTTAAATTGATCCAGTTTTTACATTTAAAAAATTTTTTTATTCAATTTACTTTATTATTATTTTGTTTAATCTGACGTCTTTATTTACTATCTGTTCTAGGTTTATCTGTTGTTTATGATAACTTTGATAGTTTAAAATTTATTTTGAAATTTAATTAGAGTTACATTTTTAGGACTTTATTATTATACAAAAAATTAACACATAACGTCTTCAAATATTTGGACTAATCTTCAAGTAGTTTTCTTTGTAATCGCAAAAGTTGGTTGATTGAAATAGACTTTAGAAACACTTGTTGATATAATTGTATTAATAACACTTAAAAAACTAATAAAGCAACTTAGTTTCAAGAACATTATTTTTTTTGTTTGAACAAGGTACTTTTTACTGAGGTTGTTCTTCATTTTATTTTTATAATCTGTGTAAAAAGGTACTTATTACTGAGGTTGATCTTCGTCGACGAGGAAAATCGTTAGAACTCCTTCTTACGGAATGCCTGTCTACTTCGTCGCCAATTCTATATAGAACAACCATCTAGGCTTAAAGTGAACATATTATAAACAGACAGAAAATATTATAGATATGTAGTATATGCTTTACAATGCTTTTAAAACTTTAAAGGGATTTACAAACACTTCAGAAGTTGTGCGAATAACTACACCTCTTTAAAATGATAGAAAAATTTAATAAAAGCATGTTATTTGCAACCATTTAAGGTTAAAGAGAATATATTATAAACACACAGAAAATATTATAGTAGCATGCTTGAAACTCCAATGGCATTTCCAAACCGTTCAGAAGTGTTCAGCTCTTTAAAATGCTATAAATAATTGATATAACGATGTTATTAACGTCGTTATTTTTAATAAAATTTGAAAACTTTTGCCTACATTTTCCAACCAACTTCTGTACGGTAAGGTAATACTGTGGCTTAACTCTAAGTCCATTTGCTGAGGTTGAAACTGAGGCATTGAAACTTTTGGCCGAAACCCAACTACGCAGGCAACACACACACACAAACACAAGTACAACTACAAGTAGGACTACGAGTACTGTTTATTATTTAATGCCTTAACTAGTTGCCACTCAACACCTTTTGAAAACTTTAAGTCCCGACTAATTTTGGCCGCTCGAAAAATGTGCAAATAACTTTGCTTTAGCCACTCGCTGTAGTATTTTGGAGCCAAACTTTTCAATGCAGGACAACTTTCCGCTACTGCTTTGAAGTTTAAGTTGAAGCGACGCCCTCTAGTAGTAGTTCATTCGTCGTCATCTGGGCGGTTTAGTTGCTCAGCTCTCGACTCTCTCCCTCTCTCTCTCTCTCTCTATCTCTCTCTCGTCTGCTGCACCATTTGTCTAGCTGTGCGCCATTTACTAAGCCGCTGACACATTCCCGTGGTGCAGGTTTAGCCCAACGGCAGCCAATTTACATTGAAATCTTCTTCATACTTGGGCGTCTATAAGCAGCAGCAGCTCGCTCGCCCTTTCCCCATCCCCCCAATTCCCCCCCATTGCCCCATTATGCTCAAGTAGTTGAACTATTTCAATGCACCCACATAGTTGTGCAATGTCTTCAGGTGCAGTGGAATCTTGGTTTTGTTGTTTTGCTACGCCAAACATAAAGACACTCAGATCGGGGCAGGGGATTGCAGGCACGTCTATGACTGCAGGTGTTTGTTTTCGCTCAGCCAGCATTCCAAACGGCTTGGTTCTACAAGGCGGATGAGTGCGTGATAGTTCAACATCTATCCAATATTTTTCTCCATTGCAACGTTAGCTGAAATGCTCCAAACATTGAATATTGTGGCTATTTTGATTGTGTATTATTGGTTTTATAATAAGGTTTGTGTTTGCACAATTTCTTCAATAATTTCTGCATTTTTTTTGTGTTTAGTAATTTGTGCATACAAAATGTATAGGTTTTTCTTTAATACTCGATGGCTGTTTAGAAAACAAATGTATTTTTTTTGCTGCACTTTTTATAAATATAAAAAATCAGTGAATAAGATTTTGAAAAATATTTCATATAAATATAAAGGGAGTTATATTAATTACTAATTTAAAAAGCAAACGGAAAAGTTATAGATATTTATTTGTGCTCAAAAGGTAGAGGAGTATACTCATTTTATTTTAGTTCCATTTCAACCTAGTGCCTTAATTTTTGCTCAGTTTTTTGCATATGTAAGCGGAATTATATATAAATTATTAATTTTTGAAACAAGTAGAAAAATTATCTCATATTTTTATCTCCTTTAGGGTATACTACTTTTGTTTTATTTTAGTTTCATTTCAACATAGCTGAAGCAGTAATTTTTGCTTTGTTTTCCTAAACCTTATAAGGAATATTTATTTTTGCTAATGACGTGTCACACACACACATTCTTAATCACGCCAAAGTGCCATCCCTAGTGCTGCTTCTAATTTTGCTGCAGCAAAGTTCTTCTGCGTCTCAGCTTCAGCTTGTTTGTTTCTTATGAAAATACATACCAAGTTTAACTTGTGAAAATAATTTGTGAGCCAAGTTCTCGACTACAGAATCCTACGTTTGTGTGAGTGCAGGACAGTGGAACAAAAATGCTGAATTAAACTTTGGATTAAAGCTGTAATAGCTGTGGAATTATCGAACACATAAATAACGACAAAGTTCAACATCAACTAATGTAATCAAGGACTTAAAGAAGCTCTTTTAACTGCATTTTTTTTATGGGGAAAAGTAAGTACTGTGGAAAGGAACTGTTTAGATTGAACAGACTAGTCAATAGAAGAACTAATATTTGAAACGGGCTGTATGTTGCGCCCAACTTTGTGAAACAAAAAATGGGTTAATTACGTTTTGAATTTCAAATAATTTTATTTAAAATAGTTAAAGGTTGTGCATCAGACTTCATTATTAAAGCTTTCTTATCTTTTTTAGCTGAAATTTTAACGTTATATTGTTGTATATCTGAATTTTGGTATAATATAAAATATATCTCTATTGTAATCTGTATCGTCAGAGTAATTAGTTGATTTATAAAAATAAAATAATGTATTTAGATTTTTAATTTCAATTTATTCACTTATCTTAAAAACATTTGAATTTACAAGTGAGGTGAAGATAAATTAATGTTAAGAGTACAGGCAGCTTAGCAAAATGGAGAAATAAAAAAGGTTAAACTACAATTGTAAATGTGTAAAGCGGGAAAAATTATACAAAGAAATCCATAAAGCTAATGACTTAAAGCTAACTTAATAATAATAACTTAATACTAACTTAATAAATGAGTTTGTGATAAACGCTTGCGTTTGCCTTTTGAAGACTATAGAATAAGAGCATTGCAGAAAGTTCCAATTATAATTTAAACATACTCTTCCGTTCTTCTTAAATAAAATGGAAAACAAAGATCACAAAAATATTGTAACTAACAACAGAAAAATAGATTAATAGACTAAATAGGCATAATTATGTGAGCTCCATTAATTTATAAAAACTTGACTTGAGTTAAATTTATAATAATTCCAAAGCCCTGGCAAAACAGATTTTAGTTTTGAATATTTAGAAATTGTTTTTAGACTAAAGTACTATATATACTTCGAGTAACTATATACTGATTAGAAAAAGTATAGGGTACCTTTAAGGAGACCAAAGAAAAAGACCTTTTATATTTTCTTTTTGCTGGACGGTGCCTTCTTACTTTCAATTACTGCTCCACACGATGCGCAAACTTGCTTCAAAAAAAGAAAACCCCCCAAAAAAGAAACCAAAAAAGAGAAAAATAAAAATTGAAAAGTAAAAATGGAGCAAACTCAGCATCGAACTTCGAACTCCGTGCGCTTTGTGCAATTTAAAGTGCAGGCAGGGGAATAAATTGCACAAAAGCGACTGCACAAAAGAAAAGGCACTACGAGTAAAAGAAATATTTGAGCGAAAAACTTTTGTTGGCCCGTGCCTTGAATTAAACGCACTGAAGTATTTACAGAGCCTGTCACTAATTTAATTTCGTTTTTTGCAGCGTCTGATGGATTCGGCAGAGCAGGCGGCGCTCTCCGAGCTGGAGAGTCAGGGCAGCTCTGCGCTGGCGCAACAACACTACGACGCACGACGGATAAATGAGTACAATGCCGATGGCAAGCTGGCGGATGGAGCTCGTCACATGGACATACGATTCATGCGACGCTTTGAACGCCTGCCGGTGAATCTCAGTCTAAGCTCGATTCTGGTGCCGCACGGCGTCGATTTGGATGAGACGGATGTCAAGTCGGCATTGCAGTGGAGCGCTCATTTGGATCCACTGTTCCAGAACAACTTGGAGCGAGATCCGGCATTGTCTTGGCAATATTTTGGCTCATCGTCGGGTTTTCTGCGGCGCTTCCCAGGCACCGCTTGGCCACCGGAGGGGAGCAAGGGTAGCAAGCAGATCCATGATTTTCGCACGCACAACTGGTTCGTACAGGCGGCCTCCTCACCCAAGGACATTGTAAGTGGCATTTCCAGTTAGTTAATTGGTTTAATACTATAGCTTCTGCTTGCTCTTGCAGATGATATTGCTGGATGCGTCATCGAGCATGTCTGAGAAGTCCTTTGACTTGGCTGCGGCTACCGCTTTCAATATCCTAGATACGCTTGGCGAAGACGACTATGTTAACCTGATAACCTTCTCGGAGGTGGTCAAGACGCCGGTGCCTTGTTTCAAGGAGCGTATGGTGCGTGCCACGCCCGACAATGTGCAAGAGATCAAGTCGGCAGTGAAGGCCATCAAGCTCGAAGATACGGCCAACTTTACGGCCGGATTGGAGTATGCTTTCAGTTTATTGCATAAGGTAGGGCTAAAACCCTTTTGGACTGTGGTTTCCTATTTAATCATTTTACTGTCCTGCAGTATAATCAATCCGGTGCTGGCAGTCAATGCAATCAGGCCATCATGCTCATCACGGGGAGCACCTCGGAGTCGCACAAGGACATCATTAAACAGTACAACTGGCCGCATATGCCAGTGCGCATCTTCACCTATTTGATTGGCAGCGACTCTGGCAGTCGCAGCAATCTCCATGAGATGGCCTGCTCGAACAAGGGCTTCTTTGTGCAAATCAATGACTTTGAGGAGGCACGTCGCAAAGTTATTGACTATGCACTGGTTATGGCCAGACCGATGATTATGTATCAGGCCGATCATCCCGTACACTGGAGTCCTGTGTTTGTGGCCGGAAAATCTGGCGGATTAGGACGCGACTCTGAATACCAACGGCGACTCGTCACGACAGTTTCAACTCCGGTCTTCGATAGACGAAATCATTCGGTGCGTGTCGCCAATCTGTTGGGTGTCGTGGGCACCGATGTGCCCATCGAGGAGATACGCAAAATGATACCGCAGCACAAGCTGGGACCGAATGGCTATTCGTTTATCGTCGATAATAATGGACGGGTGTTGTATCATCCCGATTTGCGTCCACTGAGCGATGGTAATCAATATATTGATCAGTTGCGTCCCAAATATGCCTCAGTCGATATAACGGAGTTGGAACTGCCGGAAACTGAAATCGGCAACGATCACGAGGTTGTCGAGATGAACAAAAATTTGCTTAATGAGGTGAGTGCTTTAAATAATACGCATTGAAGAATTGGGAAAATACATAGCTGGAGACTTTCAAAATAAAATTAAGGTACAACATAGAGGCATCTCAATTGCTATCATTCTGACTATAAAATCAACGAAAAATGACTAGAAACCTCGCTAGAACATCAACTTTAAGTAGCAAAAAAGTCTTCTAAAAAAAGCTACAAAACTCACTATAAATGTTTAGAAACCCAGCTAAAAATTGGTAGAATATGGTAGAAACCGCTATACATAGATAGCAAATATATAGCAAATACAATATTGCCAGCTGGTCTACTTGCTGTTCATTTTTGTGCGCTTAGTTTCGTCACAGAAAAGGTTGCCGATGCAGCATACAAAACCTTTCTATAAGAAGTTTCGATTGAAAAAACTGTTTTCTGTCTGCAATTTGTTATCAACCTATCGTTACTACATATATACAACTATATATAACAAATCGTAGACTTGGTATGCATATAAATGGGATAAGTCTAACTGCCAAGTTTGGTGACCCCCATCGTTATGGTTCAAAAGATGTCGATGTTCATACAGACGGACGTAATGGCTTTCTGTTCCGACTGTTGTACGAGTTGTATTGGTTTTTAAAATTACTTTTACTGCATTACTGAAATCTGATTCTCCTTTATAGATGCGTGGTGACATGATCCGTCCCAAGGAGGGCGAGACCGAGTTTACTGTGCTGAATCATTATGATGAAGCGAAGCGCGTGTCTACACGCACTCATCGCTATTTCTATGGTCCCATTGAGGATACACCATTTACGCTGGCTATTGTGCTCCCGGAAAAGTACGGTAGCCATGAGTTAGTCTCCCAGCAAGAGATCCGGCATTCGCGTAGCAATGGTAAGTCCCTAACTCACAATTAAATGATTAACAGCTCTAATTATGTTCCTTTCTCTTCAGTTACCGAGTACTTCAAGGGGGACAATTGGCGCGTACATCCCGATTGGGTGTATTGCGAGTACAATAGCGTAAGCGATTTGGAGAAGGAGCGTGAGAGCTCCGGAGAGTATACATCGCGCGACCAAGAACCCAGCTTTGGCTCGCCAGAGGAGCAAGTATTGCACTTCTTGGCACGTGCTGGCCGTCCTGGTTGGAAGTGGATGTCGGTAAGCATTTCCTCTACAGCAAGCATTAGTATTTTTTGTTGTATGCGATTAATAATGTGATATTTTCATCTGAATTTTTCATAGGTTCGACCAAAGTCGCCGCAGCCACATCACAACATGCATGGCGGCTCACAATCGGGCCACTTCGCCCAACATCTGAATGTGCAGGGTTCTCGCAAGGCTGAACCATATTTTTGCGATCGAACCCTCATACAGAGTTTGGTGCGCGATGCCATGGTAACAGATGGTCTAGATCGTAACTCCACGGGCTCATCCAATGGCAAGGAGGATAAACAGTAAGTTCAAGAAAACATTTACATTTCACAACATTTTTTCGTTTCGCGCGTTTCTTTTTCCAAAGGAAATTGGTACGAAAACCAATTTTTAAGCACATTTTGTTTCCGATCGTGATTTTGTTTAATTTTAATTTAATTTAACTTATTTTTAAATTTATTTGAATTTATTTTAGAATTGTTTTACTATTTTAATTTAATTTAATTTTATTTATTTAAATAGTTTTGAGAGTTGCAGAAACAACGACAATATCAAAATTATATATAGTTTATTTTATTTAAATTAAGTGTTTTAGCCTCGGGTGGTACATACTTTTGTCCTTCAGAATGGCTTGAACTTTTTCATTTGAAATGACTTCGACGCCATTTCTTTTTGTGGACAAACGCCATTTTCCAAATTTGGCGGAGTGGTTGATGTTTAAAATGCGATCTTTTTTAAAATCTTTTTACAGAGAATAGATGCAACAAGATCTTCAACTTTCTTTTGCGGTTAAATATAATTTTTCAAAACAAAGCCAAATACAAGGAATGGTTAATGTTTAATTTGCATATTTATTTTTTTTCTTCTTGCCAAAAATGTTCATTTATACAGGTGTTGACTTTTTTCAATAAAAAAAATGTAGTTTTGTACATATGTTGACTTGATGCGGAGAATAGAAGCAACAAAATCTTAAGCTTTGGTCAGATTTGCTCTCTTTTTTCCCCAATTTAGTGATGGGTTTTGAATACTTTAGAATTCTGTGAAATTTTTTGTCATTTTTGTACCTAAATCGCAAATAGAGTATTCGTTTCTGTGCGATAACTCGCCTTCTATTAATTTAATTGTCAATCTCTGGTGAAATCTTCGAGCCCTACTATTTATTATTATTGTTATTTGTTTTTTTTTTATTTATTTCATTTCAAGTGTTAATTTTGTTATAACTCTTTAAGTCTATTTTTTAATCATCTTGTATTTAAAAATGTTTGTGAAGAATTGTTTTTGATATTTTTTCACACACTAAAGCACCAATGTTTTTTCTTGCATATTTTCCCACTCTATTTTCTTTGCTGGCACATGATTGTTGCTGCATTCGATTTCTATATGCACCAACTAATGCAAAATTCTTATCATACTTATATTATTTGATTGCAATATATACAAATATTTCAATTATGCACATTTATATATAAATTTAGTCCCATCGCCACATTGATGGCAATTTTGAAGAGGTAATTGTATTGAAAAGTTCTCAACGGTCAAGTACTCGTAGTTATTGAAAAAAACAAAAAACACACACACAGCTTTGAGGAAACTTGATTTGAGCCATAAGGATATGCTTGGATAGATGTTTGATGTGTTCCTTAAGACTAATTAGCTGCTTAAGCATCACAATATGATGTGTTAAGTAACTGAACAGTTTTCTGGTGTACTTCAAGAGAATTCTTTATGAAATGAAGTTCCATAATAGTTTAACAAAACGCTCGTGCTGCCATATAATTAATTAAATATATTATATTAATGCATTTTAGCCCAGTTTTTCTTGGAGATATTAAATTGTGACTGTACTAATACCTAGTTTCTCTTTAATGTCTTTTTTAATTCGAAAATAAATTCACCATGCAGACAAGGATATCAAAAGTTTGTGGTCGCCACTTCCTTTGTAGCCACACGTTCGGGGCTGTTGCGTTGGATCGATCACATCAAGCGTCCCGAGGATACACCTGAGCCGTAAGACGCAAGACTCGATTCGCAAACTGAATAAAGAATAATGAGAACATTCTTTTGCAGTCACTTCAGTGAGGAGAATGTGCGAGCCATGGACACATCTTGGTATAAACGTGCGGTGGATCAGCATACTGTCGAACCGGACAGTTTTGTCTATAGCGTACCTTTTGGCTCTGGCTATGCTATTAAATCGAATGCTACTCTGGTAACAGCCTCGCATGCCATATTTGTGGAACATCGGGGCCACAAAGCTCCGGCTGGTGTTGTGGGTCTTCAGTTCCAACACGACTCGCTGGCCAAGCATTTCATTAATATAACATCGGCGGTAAGTTCTGAGCCCCAGTCGAAAACAACACCCAACTTATTTTGTTATCCATTTATAGTGCACTGGAATGACGGGTTGTAAGCGCACTTGCGCCTCCGATAATCTCGATTGTTACGTTCTGGATAACAGCGGTTTTGTCATCATATCTGAGGAAATGGAACACACTGGCAAGTTCTTTGGCCAAATCGATGGCACCATTATGGACTCGCTGGTACAGGATCGCATCTATAAGCGTGTGACTGTAAATGATTATCAGGGCGTTTGCTCCGATTCCGATAATCCCTATACGGCAGCTGGTGGCATATTGAAGCCGAATCGTGTGGGTTCCTGGTTCTTTAATCATTTCGTAGCGCTCTGCGCCACTTGGTTATCCTTAATGCCGGCTACTTTGCGCGCCTGGCCCCAAGACGATTATACATATGATGGCGAGGAAGTGGTCTTTGTTGAGAACAATTATTCAGATGAATATGAGCCATTCGATAATGATTATAATATGCCCGTGGATCAGGAAATGGATGAGTTCTTCACAACTGCAGATGTGGTGCGTATAAAAAATATTTTTTTTTAGAAATTTGGAGAACTTTAGAACTGTGAGAGGCTATGTTTTTTAATACCGCTTTATAATTCTTAAATAGAAATTCATAAAAAAGATGACATATTTATCGAGCTATTACCATTTTTTTTTTACTAAAACGAACGATGATTCGCAATTTACTTTTAGTTTGGTCGGAATTTTTTGCTGCCAAATATTAATAAATTTAAAAAGTATTAGTTATATTTCGTTCCATTTAACATTATGCGTATTATATGTTTTCTTAAGTTCAATATCTTTATAGTTCTATATTCTAGTATGATATTCGATAATATATTTATTTATTGGCAATCGAGCTTCGATTTTCTTACTACTCGTATACTTGATATCGTTTAAGAGCCTGCTCTTTTGTCTGAATAATAGATTTCTAAAGACATATTTATTTAAATATGAAATCAACTCGAATACTTGATATCGTTTAGGAACCTTTTTTTTATCTGAATAATAGATTTCTAAAGACATATTTATTTAAATACAGCTCGTATACTTGATATCGTTTAAGAGCCTGCTATTTTTTCTGAATAATAGATTTCTAAAGACATTTCTATTTAAATATTAAATAAACTCGTATACTTGATATCGTTTAGGAACCTTTTTTTATCTGAATAATATATTTCTAAAGACATATTTATTTAAATATGAAATAAACTCGTATACTTGATATCGTTTAGGAGCCTGCTCTTTTGTCTGAATAATAGATTTCTAAAGACATTTTTTATTTAAATATTAAATAAACTCGTATACTTGATATCTTTTAGGAGCCTGCTCTTTTGTCTGAAAAATAGATTTCTAAAAACATATTTATTTAAATATTAAACAAACTTCTCGTATAATTCAATAACTTCTTTAATCATTTTATAAGCAGTTACTGCATATTTCGTGGTTTACTTCCAATTTCTAAATATTGATTTTTTTTTTCTTTTGACAGGACTATACCACGCCACCACCAAAGCAGCATAAGCCCCATTCAGGGCCCAGATATACACCAGATCCACAGAATGCGCGTCGCTGTGATTTGCGTACGGATCTTTATATGTTACAGCCAGAGCGTCTCAATCAGGGCGGTCAAAATAATCCGCTAAAGGTAAGCTCGGAGAGTATTTTTACAAAAGGACTCTTTGCATAATGGACGAATGCTATCTTACAGGGGAAGCTAACCAATTGTCATGTGTCGGGCTGTGAGCGTCCATTCAGCGTCCAGAAAATTCCGCACAGCAACTTGATTTTGTTAGTGGTGGACACTCTGTGTCCATGTGGATCCAAGCAGCTGGACATTGAGCCCATGGAGGAGTCGGGCGTTGTCGGTACGTCTGGTTCGGGCCACGTTTTGGGGAACATCATCGATAATAATGGTATTTTCTTATAGGTGCTTGCAGTACGCGTCGCCAGACACAGGAACAGGAGTCGCGCCGGCGACCCAAGAAATGCATTAACTACCATCCCGAGGAGATCGAAATACAACAATGTGGGCGTGGTAGCACCTTACTGCACACATCGGCCTCCGTCATAGTGGCGCACATTTTGATGGTGACGGTTACATTTGTGCTCGCCAATGCGTGATACTAAGCGCCCATAGGATTAGTTTATTTCTCTTAGGCACAACTCATATAGATGCAACACCAGGCGTATAAGGTTCCAGTTGTTCCTTTAAGTTGTTAGTTTTGAGAGACAGGCGCGCCATTACATAAAATATTCTGTTATTGAAAGCAAGAGTTATACAAAAAAAAGAACAAAAAAACAAAAACAAAATAAAGTAACACTAACGAGTTTATATCTATATGTTTGTAGACAATAATTTGCGAAATAAATTTCCATTGATGTGCAAGTTTTCGAGCAATTAGACAAAATGTTAGCTAAAGATAAATTGTATGCAATGAATAATGTAAACGTTGAAAATCAAATAATTTAGCAATTTTTATAAATATATATTAATACACCAAGCGAAATAATTAAGTTATGAAATAGCATTGCAGTCTGGATAGTTTCCTTAACATTCTCTTTTTTTTCGATATTCAGAAAATGCGACTTATCTTTTTTTCGAGACTCTGAAATATAATTAATTCAAATATCAATTTTCTCAAGGAGAACATTCTCATATAAAATAGTTGCATTATGTCAGCTTATGTAAATAGTAAATAAAAAAAAGAGTACTTAAACAAAAATTCCTACCGAAATAAATAATTGAAATCGTTTCTTTTTTTTAACTTCTTTATTACGAATACGATAAAGCAAGCGTTAAAATTTTACATATAAAAAAAACCAAATCAAATATTTCAAAATGAAAACAAAAATTAATTATTTCACTAAACTGCGTACGCACAAATATTAATGTTTTTTTATTTTAAATTGAAAACAAACAAAAAGAAAATGCATAAAACAACAAATTTACTGAACAAACAGAAGACTTAAATGCCCGACAGAAATATTGAGAGGAAAACCAACACGAAACCAACACATTGAAATGAAGAAAAGAAAAACCAACAGTTCATATCGAAGACATATGCAATGAGCCAATTTTCGAACAGCAATAAATTAATATTAAAGGAAAATAAAATGAAGAGCAACATATACAACATAAATATACATATAAAAACAAAGTTAGTTTTGCAGAAATGAAATGAAAATGATATTTATTTTATATACATTTTTATACAAACATAATTTTGACATACAAATAAAAAATAAAAAAAAACGAAGAGTATCCCGCAAACATCAGCCATTAGAACGGTTTAAGCAACTTTTAAGGCAACTAGACCTTTCTGTTCTGCATGTACTACCAAATCTACCAAAATGTACTTAAGTATTACAAATGTGCGTAGCAATTTCTTTTCACAATTAGAAAGAACATATCGTTGAACCTCAATAACACTGTCTCCATGAACAAGTTCTGGCAAACTTTTCGTTGATGTTTTATAAGTACTAAGGAAAACCAAAAATAGAATTTAAAACTTTGCTAAAACTTTGACTTTGAACAAAGACATTGACACTGACACTCTCACACACACAATTAAAACAATTTTTATATACACGTACACACACACATACATACATACATTTATACATATATAAAAAGAATATTTTCTGTGTCTTAAACTTGTATAAAAAATGTCTTCCATTAAAAATACTTAAAGCAAAAACCAAATATTTAACTCGATAACTACTAATTAAACTAAATACAATATATTACAAATATTTAAATAAAATAATTAAAAAAAAAAACAAAACAAAACAAACAAACAATGTCATTACCAATACGTTTATCATATAAGTGTTTTAGTTGCAAAAATGTTAAGCTATTTTATAGCAGCTACAAGCTGACAATAAAAGAGCAAATACATTTTAAGCAGAAAAGCAACAACATACGAGTAAAGTAACATAATTATTGGCAACTACTTGTAGTTAGTTAGGCGTGCTGTTGAGCTTACTGTCTCTCTCTCGGCCCGGCTTAGACGAACACACACAACAAACGAAACGATGTTAAAACAAACCTTAAACAGTAAAAGCCAGAAGCCAGAAGAAAAACAGAAACAGCAACAGCAACAACAACAACGCATGCGACGTGTAAAAGCATTAGACAAAATATTAGCAGAGTATTTATATATACACACATATATATAATATATATATATATATATATATATATATATATATATATAATTGTAATTCAAAAGATACAATACTTATTAGCTATTGTATGATAAGTGTAACTAACTAAGAGCTGATTGTTAAACATTGTTTGTGGGTGCAATACAGTGCGTATGCGTAATATTTGCAGCACAGCAAGTCGGGTGGGGTCTAGTTAATTGTGTAGCGCTTAGTTATAGGCATGAATGATGTATTGGATGTGCTGGACGATTACTCGTAAGTAGTTGATTGTGTGCGTGTGCATGTGTTTTTTGCATGTGTGTCTGCGATTATTGACTGACGTTTGTACTACTTTTGAATGGAGTGTGAAGGACATGCATTATATACCTGGTAGGACGAACAGCGCAGAAGATAAGCACACATTATCGTAAATGTTTCTCAATTTTAAATTCAATTTCAATTCCAATTCTAAACAATTTGGTCAAGTAAATGCAAAGAGAGTGAATAAATATTTCAACTTGAATTCATTTTAAATATTCACTTATGGAAAAAAAAACCAGTGCTGAGAATGTTTTCCAAAATTTGTTTTTTAATTTGCAGCCTGCATGAAGTCCATGGAACATATTTTGATTCTTAATATTAATAATTACAAACTAGAATTGAATTTAAATTTAAATGTCTTCAACAAAAAAAGACCTTATTTTCCATTGAAAAATTTGCATTTACTCCTTTAACTAAAATTATGAAAAATTCCATATCAAAACTAGGAAGCCAAATAAATGTTCTGCAACATTTTTCTACATATTTCTTTTTTTTTATATAAAATCCGACAAATTATATAGTCCATAATACTCGAAAGGCATATTATGCAGACATACCGCCACAAAACGACACAAAACATTTATAAATGAATTGGTCTTAATGATATGATTGATTATAAAAAAATATTAAACATAACTAACGATTACTAACTTACGAATTAAACCAAATTTTTGACAATGCGATTTTTGCTTTTTGGAAATCGTGCTTTTTGCTATAAAAGTAAAAACAAGACAAACAGAAACCTATTATTGTATAACATACTTTTGCTCTCTATAAACCCTATATACAAAAAAATAAAAACAACTTTCTATATGAAACATTTATATATATATACATATAACATATATACATAAAAGCATACTTATACATATAGTACATGTAACAAAAAAACTGCTCCTTCAACTCTCTTCAAACATTTACATAACACAATGTTTCCTACATAAGACAAAACAAAAACAAAACCAAATACGAAACTAACAAGCAAGCATCGATGTAGTTTTTGTCTTTCATTTCTTTCTTCCGATTAATCCGTTTTTTATTTTTGCATTCAATTTAAAAGGAATATATGTCTTGTTTTATTTTTCAATTGCAGCACAAAAATGTTCAGCTTAATTGCAAAAAAAATTGTCAAAACATAATACGTTGTAAAAAGACCAAAAACTATGAGATGGCAACTACACATACATACTACGTACGAGTATATACATACATACATATATATGCATGTGTAATTATAAAGAAATACGATTAATAAGTGTAACATACCGAAAATGTTAATTATCGTACATAATGTCAAGTCATTCTAAATAACAAAGATTCAAAATAAATTTAAAACAAAATTCTGTTATTGTTGTCTCGAAGCATAAAAACAATTGTTGTTCCATTAAAAAAGTAAAAGAAGACTACATAAGATAAAAATTCATGTATAATTTATATAAATACATACATATATATATATATATACATATATTACTGTATATTCCAATACCAGGCAAATACTATATTGTAACGAAATTGTTTCAAAAGCTTCAAATTTGCAAAAACAACAATTTCTGGCTAAACAAATTAAACGAGTTTTTATGTTAATTAACACACAATGGACGCTCTGTAATATTGTTGACCACCAACAAATAACACATAACATCTATCCAATCTCACTTATATACACTCATACACACACACACACTCATACATCTACAGAAAGAAACCAATGTATACACACAGCTTTTTTGTACGACAACTCTACAAAGAACTTCACCTAATAGTTTAAAAGCTATGGATTAGTAAAAATTAAACAAACAAAAAAAAAAAACAAAAAACAAAGAAAGTAAGAAAAACAATTCGAAAATCTTAACTATTAAGAGAAATACATACTTACATAATTAAAATAAACTTGCTCATTACTCTAATTATAAAAAAAAATGGAAAACATTACAAGTAAATGGTAATACTTAAATAATAAAGTAATACTTAAGATTAATACGAACAGAAACAGGTGGAGAGAACTAAAAATATAATGAATAAATAATGAAAGATGAAGAACATAAAGCAGAAGAAAAAGAAAGACGAAACGAAATGAATGAAAATAAAATGAAAAGTATTACAAAATGAAATGAATGTCTACTTACTGGTTTGATGTGTAGAAATATTGTTATTTAATATATTATTATTGTATATATTATTATTATATATATGTTATTATTACAGATAGAATGCTGCAGTCTTAAAATCCAAAGAAAAAACAGGAACTTGAGATTCTGCTTTTGTTAGAATTAACAGATTATCTGCGTATTTGTTTGAAGAATACTGCTCGAAACTGAAAGACTTTGCTAATCATTGCCCAGCTAGGAAGGATCGCTGCTTAATTACGGCAAGTAGAATAATTACAATATTTACCAATATACCACTTATATTAAGATATCACAGCGAAATGGATTAAATTCCCAGATAATCTATTTAGAAGTTTAAAACTTGCCACATAGTGCCAGAGTGAAAGAGTCTTGATAAGTTTTTCTTTTCATTTCTTTCGTTTTTTCCCGTCGTAGAGCTTTACCAATATTTTGGACGTAATTTCCCGTTGCTTTCTTGTTTTAAAAACGATATCCTTTTAGGTACTGGACCAATCAATCATCAAACTTCTTAATAATGTGAATTCGTTCCTCACAATTAATATTAAAAAATGTCAAATTTATCATAAAATTTAATAACTGTCCAACTTAGTTGAGATCTTAAATAAAGATTAAAGTTTTTAAAATATTAAGACTTGATGGTTAATCGAATTAAATAACTATAATGAAGCTCTCCTTTTAATAATAATAATTCTTTAGCAGATTTTCGAT